CACCAATGAAGCACTTTATTACGGACCGATCATGAATATAACGGCCCTCTGTTGTCATTAATATATAATCAAATGATACACTACATGGTTTATCCTCTCTCACTAATCATTGACTATAAGTAATGCCCTTATGCTCTTACTACTCACTTTCAGATTCCGAATCTCTCTGATGGTTAAAGTTTCATCATTTTTCTTCAGTTTCATATCCTTTTCTCCATTACAAGTAATGATAATATTATCCTGCCAGGACAGACAACTCACTTATCACATGGATGCTGATCATTTATGGCCGGACATACGAAGCTCATAATGCCCTAAGTTCTTGTGATTCCCTCCATGTTTTGCTTTCTTACAATGAAAATTTTACAATTCTCAGTTCTTGCACATTCTTTGATTTACTATCTATCCTTACCATCTCTAAACGACGTGTAATCTGATCTGTGTTTTATAACTCATACTATTGGTTATCTTCAAAGCAGTGTGATATACTAAATGGACATCTAACCCACAATACAGAAGCTTTAACAATCTGATTTAATTTTAACATGGGAATAGTAGAGACAGTGTATTCCAAGAAGATTAGATTAGAAGCTTAGATTAAGGCGAACGTAAGAGAGCCTAATACCACAAAAGGAGGGAGGGTGGCGTTACTGACCAGCAAACACGATGGTGGGGAGTTAACTTCAATCTACCTAGGTCTGTAGGGCAGAACATGATGTTAAGTTAAGACTCTTTATGATTCATTGGGATGTCATGATCCAATAGTATTGATGCCAATTTATTATGTAAAGTACCTCTTTAAATGGTGTTTGTGACGTTGAATTGTTTTCAATTCCTATTGAGTGATCCTAAACCAAGAAAAACTAGACAATTTGCCCAAAACGAAGCCTGCTCACAACCCTATTAAATCAATAAAAATAAGGTGAAATAGCTTTGACAAAATGGAGATGACCAATAACATATTAGTTGAGGGAAAACTATTATTATTATAAGCATTCATCTGGACAAGTTTGCATCTCTGGAGCTTGCAACCCACTAAACGGTTGCGATAGAATAAAAAATCATTAGGAAGTTACTATGAGTTCCTTCTTATCTATTTTCCATCAGTTTTTCACCTTAACATACGATTTGTTGACTTGTCACTAATTTCATTTCATTACCTAATATCTCATTTACAATTTATATATTTCTACAATCCCCCGCCTGCTTCAACAACCATTTACCCGCTTTTATACCACACTCAATGCTTATACTCGGTTCGGAAACCTATAGCTTGCGCTACAGTAATCTAAATTATTTCACAGATTCCTTACCCACAGCCCATAATTAATAACTGCCTTATAAGCTTCGAAAATGATGCTTATATAAATAGTGCTTTCAAACAGGATGTAAAACATGGTGCATCGTGTGAGATATAGTGTTTTACCTAAAAATGAACCTTAATAACGCAAATTTCACAGAAGGAGAGATGATTGAGTTAATAATTATCAAGAATTGATTGTGAGGGTTGTGACTTTAGTGCACCCACGTTTATGGAGCAGAACATTTTGTTCATCTCAGGCTATTAATGATTGGGGACGCAACAATAATCGATGATGCTGAGGTTATTCTCTTACATTAGCTACTGCGACTCATGTTTCCAAGTTTATGTCTATGTCTCTATTCAACTAAATTAACCCATTAAATGATAAATCAGACTTTTACACCATGTTTGAAATTTTGCACTATAACCTAGGGGCTGAGTTCGGACGAAAAAAACCCACAAAAAACGACGATAAAAGATAAAGTTACTGACGTTTCTTAACTTTGTAACGATACACTTTACATTCCAATTAACTCGTTTCTTCATTCTATCTTCTACATCCTTACCATTATTTGAACACATTGCACCTTTCTACATATCACAACTTATTGTTTGTCGTTACTTTATTCTCTTATCTGAAGATTCTATAACCACACTTCAGTCCAGAAACAACAGCTAGTATGAGTTTTATCAACCAAGCTATCATAGCTTTGTCTGTTCCACTACAAATTGCTAAGCATTGCTCAGGTTTTATAACCAAGTGTCTTTCTACCCCTTTGTTTCTCTTTCTTTTACAGCGTCACGCTCTCAGAGAACAGTTATAAAGCTTTCAGATCATGAGATAAACTTAACATATGCGTTTATTCAAGCTTTTCTTATATCTACTTTATAACAATTATACAATTTTAAAATGTATTGAATAAATGCCTAGCATGACCAGAATTCTAACACAATAATTCCAAGATTTTACATGCTGTACATTCACAGGGTGATTGGGGTGACAAGTTATTGTCTGAATTACAATGAAAAGAATAATATTTACTTAGAAGAAAAAAGAGAGAAATTAAATGATCACCTAATGAAAGGGTCCAATCATGAAAAGAACAGTGTAATGAATACTGTTCTCTGAAGTAAACCAACGATTAAAAAAGATCCTTTAGTGCACTGGGTTAAATACACGTAGATTTATGTAACAGTATGCAGAGTGAAATCGGGTATTAGTATAAGAATGTGTGCAATAACAATTTAGAATGATGCTATGATAGTCACAATTAATTGCAAATGATAATTAAATAAAAATTTCAATCTGTTACATACGTGTAGTGAAGACAAAATTGATCTGAGAAGCTAATTTGTTTAAGTGTAACACTTTTTTTAGTTATATACTTTGGATGTTTAGGAATAAAATATGTTTAGAAGGACAAGAAGAGACGAAAAGAATATCTGATGTGCCTAGGAACCAATGGTGATATTAATAACAGTAATGATTATAAACACGAATATAGGCAGGATTGATATATCAAGGTGAATAAAAATAAAATAAAATAAATATGAAAAGTTTCAAGGGTTTTACTTTGCTTTTCAATCAATTAGATAGATGACGGACCTTTTTTGTATAAATCATTGTTAATCACATTGATATTCAATAGGTGACACAATCCACTTTCGTAAAGAAAATCATCAAAGGGACTTCTGAATTAAGGAAACAAGGACAGAATTTTCAGAACCAGTCATTATGGACAGTGATGTGCATTACACGTAAAAATGGGTTGTCGCATAGTGGCGAGTTCACAAATTTGGGTTGAGATGTATTATTCTAGCAGCAAACATAAATGCATTAATATTGATCTAGACGACAGTCTTGCAAGCCTTTGAAAAATAAAACAAGCTCATTGACTGGACAAAAATGTTATATCTGGCCGGTTGTGAACGCTATACTTGCTTTCCTAAGCTAGTTCCCTACCCCCAAGCTGCCAGTATCAATCCTCCAAGGTAGTGTATATAAAGCTTCAGCGATAATTTGTGATCACGGTCCACTGTTATTCCATTTTCCACACAAAGCAATCCGTACTGAACATTACATAAACTCAGTGAGGTTACTTCATGGTAGAAAGAAAATTTTCCTTCCAATGATCTCTTTTGCCAAAGCTGTCGTGAAAGAAGTTTGATCTTATTGCCAGGTAGTGAGCTTAGATCATATGCTTCTCAACGTAATAACTGTCTACCAAGCATAGCCTAGCATTCATTCATTGCTCAATAACAATGTAACTGACTCTGGCCTCCTCGAATAAAAAGACTTTTAGGACAATATGGTTGTCAAAAGTTGTGTATCCTTGATATCTTTACATCTATCAGTACAGTCAAACGTCTTAGCTATGAAGTGGATGATAGCGTTGAAAAAACATTTTCCCAATGTGTCTAAACAATCCACGTTATATATTATGACGTGTTATTTAGCGCCGATGCCTCATCGTTACGCTTTAAGATATATATATGCAGCATTCTGAAAGGGAAAGATATAGAAAATGCAGAATATCAATTCATGTAGATGGCAATCGGATTGTCTTATATGCTGATTAAAACTTATCAGACCTCAACACACTTTTTCATTGTAGCCCCCTTGTTAGAATGGTCTGCTGTCACTTCTAGGAACAGACTGCTTGTTAACAAGATATGAAAATTGTGACCATAAATTAAAATATATCATGAAGTTTATTTCTTGAAGACAACTGAAAATTGTTCACACTTTTGGCTGAAATGAAAAGTGGCAATCAGCGTGTCCACAGTCATTATAGGGGACTGATAAGTGGACTGATTCCATAACATTATTGCAGAAACGGGTTTCTCTAATAAACGCAGACCTCACTGTTCATAACATCGCACGGAGGTGGGGGATCTCCATAATGAATGACATTTAGGTGTGATATTGAACAAAAGTCCAAAGGAACATCACAAGTCACAAATGAGGAGGTTCGAAGACATAATTGGGAGGCTAACAATATGTCGAGGAGCGTTTGGTTCAAGCTGTGTGACAATTGTAGGGGATGAGTGGCAATGCATACTTCCGATCTGATGAGAACGCATGATCGAGCACCCGCAGCTAGGATGTATTCATTTAATCTAATAAGATCATGATCGATGTCAAAGACTTGTAGAACTATTCGTTTTCAGGATTTACTTGCCGCTACAAACATATATATCTCATTTATGTAGCATCGAGTGCAACACGATATTCGTTTATCGTTTCTGTCAGCACTTCGCATACACCATTTTGGCTGTTTATCACGATGAGATCTTAACTACCTATGTAAGTTCCGAAGCTTAAAATTTTACATACTTAAATTAACCTTCATATCATTTCAAATCGACTTTTCCACAATTATGACTGAATGTTTAAAATTTACATCAGGAGTAAAGTTTGATAATCACGTTCTCAACAGTTTTTTGAACGGTTAGTACCAATCTGAAGAAATACAAACAGAATAACTTTAAAAACAAATGTTACGAGACATTATGTTCTTGCAGAAATTACAATTTCATAAATCTATCTCAACAGTGCTGAATTTTACTCTGTGAAAATTGCCTCAGTATCTCCACTGTTTGTTCAACGGTACTGAGGAAACTTTAACGAAGCCCTCTTCTATAAACAAATCATTTCGTTCTATGTATAGGTATCAAGTTCGAGGCCGTATTATTCATGGTATTTGAATGCTTATATCTAAGGCTGAGTTCGAATCATATATTGTCAAAGAATGATTGTCCAATGAGTTGTCTTGCCACCACTGTACAATGTCCTTGGATGCCTTTAAAAGAAAGCCGGTTCGTACAAAAGATCTTTGTTTTAAGGTCAAGCGGAATTATCAAATTTACCTCAAAGATGGTAAGTTCTTTCTTTCTTATTCATATTCGCGCTTATAAATTGACTGGCGAGATCTCACACCCTTTGTAAAAACTTGTTGTATTTCTAGATATTTGTTCATTTTGTTTCGTCTAGAACGTTCAGGATGTTTTTGTTTTTATAATTAACATTCGTACTTAATTAAGTGATATTTACGGAGTCGAAAATCTAAATACATAAATTAATGCTGTAAAATATGCGTGTTTTCATTTTCCTAATGTTGTCATCGCATATCTTGTTTCGAAAGTAAGATTTTCATAATATCTCAAATAATTTTAAGATAATCAAATTTATAATTAACGACATTCAAGTAAGTTATCACACTACATTTATAAAACTTAGTAAAGGTAATTTACTAATAGAAGTGCATTGTTTGTGTCGTTATGCTATGTTAATACACTTGATAACGGTTGTCTCCTGTAAGTTTTACATGCTTTATGAGCCATGCACGATTAAATATTAGTGAACTATGAATAATCTCCGTTTCTAAGGACCTATTTTCACTGTCTCAAAGTGGAACTAAACCAACACATAGACGGCGTATTCGTGCCTTAGTTGGAAGATGGATATTTTTACGCCATAGTTGACGCAAGTTAACTAAAGCGGAATAAACTTTCTAATTTTGTGCCAATATTTTGTTAGCCTCCAAACTATCATGATTTCTGAGATTTTCGAGATTTGTGAGGGAATTGACTTGTTCAAATTCATTCTATTTGATAAGTTTAGATGTTGACGCGAACCATCCATGAAGCAGCAACTTGTATTTAGCGAGAGACAGACCTTATTTCAAACAGACTCGCATTTTTGCTTGAGGCAATAGAAAATCTGGGACTTTCCAGCCTTCGCAAGCATTTGCTTACTATAGATCGATAAGAAAGATTTCAGGAAGTCAGTTAATTCCTGGAGCGCTTAATAATGTTTTTTGAACTCCCAGTATTAGTAGTTGATGCCTTAACATGTTCTTAGACGAGTACACGTGCTTTTTAGGGTAGTTTCGGAATAGAAAGTGAGGGATATTTTTCAATACAGTCGCTTAAGTAGGTAATGTTTTATCCAATTACATACAATGATTGATGTTCGAGTCATGATATTTTGGTTTTATGATATATTTGCTAGATGATCGTTTCAGACACAAAACCTATTGGTTGAACACATAAATATTGATACAAAGGCGCGCCAGATACATATGCACCACATAATAACAATAAAAATGTGAAGAGATAAAGAATGTAAGGTGCGTATAAGAAGAAGAGGAACAATAACAAACAGAAATCAGTGTGTGATTGTGAAATAATAGTAATCGAAGAAGCAGTTCGGTTGGCGAAGATACAAACAGAAATAATTCTTTCAGTTAAGGAAGTTATGACCACGCTTTATGAATAAAGTAAAATAAAGTTGCAGTAGGACCGCCACTGGCTTCTATTCTGAGCCATGTCTGATAACGTCGCTAGCCACTGTGTTGCACCATCTCTAGGACCTCAACCGGGGAGTCATGAAGGACCAACAGAAGCCAACCCTTTTCAGCTTTCTTTTATACCACGACACCATGTCATACACTAACGGCCTCTCCGCTTAACATGGTGTTGTCACTGGATGTCAGCAATCCTTTGGAGACAACAATGATTAAACACAGTAAGTCGTCTAACATCCTCAACTCGGAAAGGCCAGGTTTTACAAGCATAGAGCAAAACCACCCTCACCGTCGCGTTGTAGGTCCGACCTTTTACAGCCAGACTAACATCACAAGGGCTCCAAAGGTGGCCTAGATTGGCGTAGGCCGCTATGGCTTTCATTATACATGAATCGATCTCATCACTCACACCACCACCAGTACTAGGTGGCACATCGGCAATGACTGTGCTGGTAGTTGGTGCCACCCAGAATTTAGCTTCGCATAATACAACAGTAGATACAAATCTAAAAGTATACCGGCTAGTCAAACGTTTCTGCTTATATCCTAGCTTTGAATTATGATTCATTTCACTAGTTTTCCGATGGGGTCATCCCAATGACATAGATACTTATAACCTACCTGAATTCCCTATTATTATTATTATTATTATTATTATTTGAACACAAATATTGGTACAAGGGGCCAGATGTATGTGTGCCACACAAAAAATTGTCATTTCATTTAATGGTGTGAGGGCTATGATACTGCTCAGGTGCCTAGACCGAATCAGGCGGTTATCTTAGATTGCCACACTCGGAGCCTTTGATCTAAAGGTCTAATCCACAAGGCAGTGGAGCAACATAAGGAGATGCAGTCCCATGGTAGCCGGTGACCAATAGTAGGTTCATACTCCATTTGTTCCCTCAGGATACTGGAGCCCATGTCCATCATCGGTTTGGAACCAGGATTTTCCAACCCCCCTAAGTGGACCCTCCGTGTCTAACAGCCCGGACATTCACTTTTCATCCTCTTAGTTTCGTAAACAACATCCTCACCACGAGAAGGCAGTGAGTAGGACTTCCCTGGTAGTGGCTGTATACGCGTGGCCATGTGAGGGAATTTCGAGAAGGAGGGCGGGCCCTCCCCACTCTCGACCATACCAGGGCATTTAGGGACGGTCGACTTCTACCTTTAACTGAAGAACTTAGATTAAAGCTAAAGCTGGAATTTATCAGTATTTCGGAATCTAAAAGATCACAAATTCTGGTGGATACATTCCTGTAGAGTCCAAAACTTTCACGTATTTTTGGAGTTTGTTGTATTGAAGCTTTATCTAAACGACAAATACTTTTATGTTGTAGGACTTTAGAAACTAGTAGTTAAGTTTATTCGTCTACAATCGCCATTTGGTAACCACTAGAGAATGATAGTCTGGTCCTCTCAGTTGATTTTATTCGAATCTTTTCAGGCTGGTTGTGTGTGGTTCTTTTTTAGTGTGCTGGCTACTGGAATGTTGCATCCTGACATTGACAGAACAGAGTTCTAAAACCCAAAAACATTTTTAGTGATGGGTGTCATAACTTCATTTTTCCATAGAGACTTAATCACTTACACCTTTTACCTCTCTTGAAGGAGCATAGGCCGATCGCCAGCATTCCCCATCGTACCTCACAGGCAAGATTTCTGCTATTCAAAGTGAAATACCTTACCATTCCTGTGCCTATTGTTTAATCACCAGTGCGACTTTGCCATCAAACCTCGTCACGGGTGAAGAAGTGGCTACGGCTCTTGGCTTTCAACCTGTTTGTCATAAATTTGAACCCTAATTCGCTATGTTTGGTTGTCGTAGCCAAACAGTTTCACCAGCTCTCACATAAGTGTTTCGAAACTGAGGATATAAACCTGTACCTCGTAAATGAGTCACATTTGATCTTAATTATAATGTAATGTGATTTCGGTCTTACGTTTCAAACTAGCTTTAAAAAGGGTTCACGTCGTTCCTATAACAACTATCGGGGGATAAGTCTACTTCCGACTGCGTCCAAACTATTGGCTTCTGTCATGCTTCTTAGGTTGTTCAAAACTCGAGAAGGACTGACTCGCGAGGAGCAGGCTGGTTTTCGTTCTGGTCGAGGATGCATTGATCATACCTTCACTTTCCATCAAATGTTAGAACACCTTCATATTTATCACGGGCCAACAATCGTAGTGTTTCTTGATATAAGGGCTGCCTTCGATTAGTTGGACAGGACTGTTTTCTGGGATTGTCTATTGAATAAAGGTGTGGGTTTATTAACATCTTAAAGGCCCTGTATACGAACACCTCAGGCAGAGTGAGGGCATACAACCACCTTTCTCCCTTGTTCCATTCGAGCAGTGGGGTTAGGCAGGGTTGCCAAATCTTGAAACACCGACTTCCGTGGCTTGGACATGTCCTACGAATGTTGTCCCAGAGAATTCCACGTCGTGCATTATTTGCCGACGCTGGGATTGGTTGGAAAAAGCGGAGAGGTTGTTAGTGTATGACATGGTGTCGTGGTATAAAAGAAAGCTGCAAAGGGTTGGCTTCTGTTGGTCCTTCATGACTCCCCGGTTGAGGTCCTAGAGATGGTGCAACACAGTGGCTAGCGACGTTATCAGACATGGCTCAGAATAGAAGCCAGTGGCGGTCCTACTGCAACTTTATTTTACTTTATTCATAAAGCGTGGTCATAACTTCCTTAACTGAAAAAGTTCTTCTGGTCGTACATTTCAGTTTCCCCCATCATTACTCTTCCTTTTTTTTATATGAATCTTACCCCTTTTCTCTCCACATTCTCATTGTTTTATGTGGTGCATATATATCTGGTGCCCCTTTGTACCAATATTCATGTGTTTAAATAAATAATAAAATAAAGCCTAGTTATCATGATAAAGTATTAAAGAACATGTTTTCTTGTTAGTGTAGCTTTGCTGTTTCACTGTAGTAGGAAAGCTCAATCAACATGATATCCGTTTGCTAAACAACGGGATACTTACTGACTCTTCCCAAAGGTCATTTTTTCGTGGTTTAAAAATAATACTGAACCATGTTTGTTCGTTGTTGTTTTAGTGTCTAACTGTAAGTAAAGTACTTAAACACAAACACCACTCTCCTAAATCCCATCCATATTCGTTCAGTTTAATGAAGATGGTCGACAGTTATCATCGGAGGTAATAACAGCAAGTAGCGTGTAACTAGAATTTTTACTGCTGTTATTCCTATCCAGCTGTTAATTATCAGTTGCCTTTTCTTAGGGACTTCATCTGTCATCTGGAGTTCCGTTCGATTAGTAGTTTGGAAACCGCATATTCCTATGTAGTTATATACAGATTTTTCTTAACATATACATCAAACCTCAATGTGTACGGAATATCCATAAATAGATAAACCTTGAATATTGATCTCAAATACCTATTTTACGAGTTGTCAGTATTGAAAACCTAACTGATCGATTCGTTAGATTCATTCATTAAGTCGTTATTTTCAAAACTTCTTAGTTATTTGATGTATCATTCCATCTAGTTGATCAATTATAATCGAATATTAGTTATTCACGAAATATTTTTCTTCCGTTTTGTATTTTAGAAAATTGTCTGTAGCATTCTGTTTCTATTTGCTTTGTCAGTGAAAGGTAAGTCATTGAGTGTTTTTCGTAGAGGTTTAGGTTTACTATATCTTTTGGTGATATTATACTTTAAGCTTTTAAATCTAAATAATGATGCCAAGCCGCTCCTATTTTCCTCTTATTCCTTAATGTTCCGTTGATTATGTAACGTTCCACTTTCTTCAATTTCGTGCTTCAGATACTTTATTATACTTATAATTTTTGCTGTATATGGAACTAAAAATATAATCCTGCTGTATAACCTTAGGGTAAAGGTAGTTTTTATCGTCAACTTCCTACAGAGTGACTACCTAGTATTTAGATAATTCTTAAGTTCTGTCAATATATTTAATCAACTTTCTATCAGTTTTTGGCATAGCTTCGTTCATCGAATCAGTATAGATCAGGGAGATTTATAATTTGTGTGGCATATATTTTATAGTCTGGTGCAGAGTATCTTCTGTTTCATAGGGAAAAATAGAATTGATCTTATTTCTGTTACAGAAATGCTATTTGAACCTTCGAACTTCAACTACTAGTTCGTAGGTCTAAACTGTACTTTATGTAATTCAGTTAAAACACTTGAGTACTATCAGTAACCCTCATACAAAAGGTGTGGCTCAATGTTGAGTACATAAATTTGTATCTGGCGAATGTTGAATGCAGAAAGTTGTAACAATATTTTTCACTATTTCAAGAGTGAAACAGATCAAGTCATACACAAAAAGTCCAAAAGATCCATGAAATTCTGTAAAAATGTATGGAAATTGAGAGTGTTTATGTGAAATTTAATCTTCAAGCTTCCAGTTTACTTCCATTTTTTTATTATTATTCGTTTACTAGTGTAAAATCCGTGTGCCGGTTTTTTGTTTGCAGTACAAATATTTAAGTTGTATTTTCAAAAAATTTCTGCTTTATTCATTTTCTAACTATTAAAAATATGTACATGGTTATTGGTTAACAACGTGGATATAGTAGAGCAATTATTTTTTAGAAGAGCAACTAAAACAGTAGTGTAGATGTGCAGTGGTGGAAGTCTTTAAGCTTCATTATATATAATATGTAGCCACCATTTGAAGAATGTATGATTCAAAATTAATCCTAGGTCTCTTACTTCACTCACTGGCTAATAATGTGGTCACCGAAATCTTCCCAACGTTCACTTATCACACTGAAAGTAGCCTTTTAGGACGATTAGCTGTTGAGTTTAGGTGGTATGGTACAATTATGTCTACTTATAATAATGTACCTACTTTAGCCATCTAACACATTGTCTATGTTGTACATTCTAATTAGCTTCATTTAGCCTTTAATATTTTTTAAAAGCAGTAATTTTCAGTTTGAGGTTGTAAAGATCGTTGAATTTAATCGAAATAATGATCCGATCAATATTAAATCACCATTGAAACATGCAGCCGTTTCATCCTAGTACGGGACTCCTGAGCAGTGCGCAGTTACCCACCGACAATAATGGATGATGGTCACGCGACATCGTTGATTGGTTGAATTTAGAAATGGACGCCGTTGGATGCTGATTCTGCGGTCTAGAGGTTAAGCGTTGGTGCGCGTAACCGAAGGTCCTTGCTTCGAATCTGTGGATCGTGGATGCGCACTACTACGAGGACGAAACGGCCGTTTAGTGCTTCCACGTTTAAATTGTGGTGTAGCATTGACCGATTCATGATTTCAATAAAAGTAGCAAATTTGTTTCAGGAGAATTAAGCGTTGAATAAGACGTAGCTTCTAGTTTTAGTTTTATAATATTTTAAATAGTCATCGTTTTTTACTTTAGCTTAGTCCTATAAAATCTATAATGTGGGTATATATTTAATATGGCTAAAAAACTACAAAACGATTATTCTACGTTATAGAAAAAACTAACGAAAATTCGTAATATAGAATTATTAACTGAGTGTGTATTCTGGTATTATTGAATATTGATATCCATCATCTTTTAAACTTCACACTCAGTCAATTATGGATTTTCCAATCTATTGATAATACTTACTGTGTACTATTATCTGCCTATATTTCATGTTTTAATACTCTCATTACTTGTCTGTTTTTGTATTTCCCTTCTCTTCTGTAATGTCTCACTTTGTAAACACTTATGATTTACTACCTAATTTCTGTCGGATAATATAAAGTCATAATACTATTGTGTGTTTTTCATTCTATCGGATGGTTTCTGTGATGATTGTACAACATCTAACCTTATTTGTGTTTCTTTATGTGAATTGTGTGTGTTAATATTAACATGTATATACACATGTTTACCAGAAAAGAGAAAATGGAAAATAACATGCAATCTTACTATTATACTAGACAAAATGTTTTGTAATCAGGTATATTATTTGGCAGTTTGACTCCACAGTCTTGACAATCAATATCTGTAGGATTCATCGAATACGTAGCCACTTAATGAGTTGTATACGATATAGTACCTAAAACAAATATATATTGAGAAGGGGATTTGTGGAGATTTCAGTATTTTTCAAAGTTGAAATCATGAGTCAATTGAAGCTAGACCACCATCGAAAACCTGGAAGCACTGGACGGCCGTTTCGTCCTACTATGGGACTCCTCATAGGGCTTCGGCTCGAAACTGGTAGGTCCTGGGTTCGAATCCCGCGAGAGTGGATTCGTGGATGCGCACTGCTGAGGAGTCCCATAGTAGGACGAAACGGCCGTCCAGTGCTTCCAGGTTTTCGATGGTGGTCTAGCTTCAATTGACTCATGATTTCAACTTTGAAATATATATTGGTTTAGCAGCAATAACAGTGGTGGTGGCAAACGAAATACGCCAGTGGCAGTTCGAAAGAAAAAACTGGCACTTAGAGCTTTGCTGAGTCCTTATTTGGAAGTATCCATAAAAGTTTATATTTCTCTGTTGGGTTGTGAGTAATTAATGGGGATAGATATATTTGATACTTCCCTTTCACAGAACTTTTGGAATTGTATGGTTGTTTAATTAAATAGTGTCAGAGACCGTATTCTGACTAAAACTTCCAGGAGGTGTATTACTAACCACTGCTATTACATGAGCTATATATATATATTCCTGTTTCCTGCTTCCATTAGTTACTTTTTAAAGTCATAGTGTTATACAAACAAATCCTGTGTAGTACCTTTCAGCTATCAATGGTTGCAGTTAAGAAGAGTGGGATTTTCGACGAAATATGAACAATCTAAATGAATCGGATAATAGTTATCTTGTGTTATTGTTAACAATTAGTAATTCTATGAGGTTTTGATTAATCCACTTTAACCAATACTTATTAACAAGTGCATTATGAGCGGATACCTCGATATTTCCATTGGATACAAGTGTTTGGCATAGTTTTTGATTTCGCTGCTAGATGTAATCCAAAAAAAATCCCGAAAATAGTAATTTTATTGTGAGAAACTGATTTATCAAGATGTTTAGCGAATCGATTTGTGCATCAGAATTCAAAGGTGATAGCATCAATAACTTTTGGTTGGTGTTCTACTAGATTTTGTAATACTCTTTAATTATTTCTTCAACAACACTCCTTGTCCTTTCTCTGATTATGAAAATTTAAAACAATAATTTTAGAGGTAATTATCAGTTTGAGAAGATCATTGACAAGTGCAAAGTATAAAATTTTTTTAAAGACTCCATGTACTCAGAAGGATAAACAAATATTTTGTTTGACAATGTACTAAAGATATTCTTGAGAAATTTAACAATTTATTGCAAATATATTAGGTCACAGATATGGTAACGTATAGATTAAGTTTTATTACAGGTCTGGTTACAAATGATTGGTTATCGTGTAATTTTGAATCAAGTCATTCATGTGAATGGATTGACGATGCAAATAATTGGCTTGCGAATTGGCGCCCAACTTCTCTCGCTAGTAAAGAAGATTATTCAGTGAAAGAAAAACTCCAAATAGTTCTATGTACTCAATTTAATCCGCGTACTAAATCGCGTCTACGTAATCATCATGGTCAATTCCCCGGTTCACAGGAAATTAATTCAGTTGTTCGAATAATTAGTCCACCTATCACTGCACTAGATAGCATTAAGTGTTTATCGTTCATGTATCGATTCGAAAATTCGCATTATTTTTCTTCATCATCTAGTTTTGTACTAAATTTACTCCGTCGTTCAGAGGGGTAAGGCTGTTTGTCAAATCGTATGATAGTGACATAGTAGTTTCCAATGTGTTTTATTTATCTATTACCACAACATGAATATTTCTCGTTATATGATTGCATCTTATGCAATACAACACTGAGAAAACCCGGATAGAAATGAAGGTTTATCCAAATTATATTCTATTTAAATTGATAGCTCATAATAAAATTCGATCAGTTGAACCTGTTCATCAGTGTTCATTTGAATGCAATCTATGTGGATGGACAAATGATCAGAGCAGTTGGGAAGGTTACTGAGATTTAACTAGAGTCGAAATTCTGTTAACCAATGCATCCTGTTTTCGGGTAATGCAAAAGCCTATTAACACAGAAAATTCTTGGCCCATTAGAAAGAAAACGTCTCGTTCAGATAAATCAAGGGACATACTAAACTGCAATCGGCTTATTAGTATCAAATTATGGAGTCCTCTTATTCAAAATGAAGATCAACTTCATTGTCTTGTGTTTGTGTACATAATTTACAAACCACCATCTATTTGTGCAAATAAGGTCAGAATCTCTTCAAATTCAATAAAAGATGCTTCTCTCAGTTTACTTAAACGTCAAGATAAGTAGGATGCTTTGGAGAGGATAACAGTAAATTTTTTGTTTCTGATGATATCTCAGATTAATTTTGTTCGGTAGTTCTCTTAGGAACTTAAAATTCCGACCAATATAACGCATTCGTTGTTGTAATTCTTTGAAGTATCCTCTTGGTGTCGTTTTCGTTTGAAATCGTTATTATGTGTATATCATCTAGACACTATTTAGCACTTGGTCAGGATATTTGGTGCCTTATATATCCGGCTTTCTTTTCTAGCGATTGATCCAGTTTATTTCTGCCCTTTCACAAAAAATCTGTG